GTGCCTCCAGCCATGGGCATCCCCGGCTTGCTCTTCACCTTCAGCTGCTGAGGCTTGGCCGGTTTGCTGGCGATGGCCGCCCAGGATGTGGGTTTGGGAGGCGGTAGCCCTAGTGGAGTCCCGCCGTTACCCGTGGCCACAGCAGCCGCCACCGGCCCTCCACCGATCACCGAGCCCACAGTCTTCACTCCGGAACCACCTCCGGTCACGTCACCGCCGATCTTCAACCCCACCATGCCCTGCTCTAAGCTGTTCATACCTGGCGCCTTATTTAGGGTGTCGCTTGGGAAGCCTGTTTGCCCGTCGGGTACCAGGGTGCCACCTAAAGAACTGGGCGGGTAACTGTAACTGCCCCCGTATGCAGAACTCTGAGTCTGCTGGCCCTGGGAGCCACTTGTACCCCAGGCGGAAAACGCTGGGTTTTCAGGGAAAAAGTTAAAGCGGTGTGGATAGATGCTACTACCCAGACCCCCTGGCTGTCCGAACACAGTGTCATGCATGAAGTGATGGTCTCCATTGCTGAGGGGGGCATACGGAGTGAGGTACGGGATCGGCGGGTCTCCGCCGGTGGACCAGGGGGCCTCGCTGAGGGGGTACGGGAACCCAATCGAGGGGGCATAGTAGCTAGACAGGTATGGGTCGGTCATTGATTGGTAACTGTTATTCTGAAGGATAATCAGAAATAGAGTTGTTAGAATTAATGACAAAATGCAAACCAAATATACTAATTTCAAACAGCATAAAAACAGATCAGACCTTCTTAGCAGACAATCCATATTCAGAACAATTTATAGACAATGACGTATTATATCGTACAACCAGTTCCTTTTAGTAATGTACTGGTAAAAAAAAAAAAAAAAAAAAACTACAGTCAAATTTCCCAGAGTAAAACCTAGTTGGTTAATAATATTTTCCCCCTGCAGCAATTACAACAGGAGAAAAGTTATTTCAGATTTTTTTTTAAATGTACAGACAAATTTTCCCAGTGTAAAACCTGTTAGTTATTATTACTCTTCTTTTGCTCAGTAAAAACAGCAGAATAGCTTTCAGAGACAGGTAAGTAATTACTTTGGTTAAAAATAATGTGTTTTTACATGCACAAGCCAACAAGGATAATGCACTTAAAAATCATATTTAAGTATTTTGTTTTCTTAAAAATATCAAAAACATGCTTATGCTGAGAAGCAAAATTGTAAAATCATTGGATGTGTTTTCAGAGAATAAATGTTGATTTAAAAGGTTTTTCTCTATTTCACACCAAGACAAAAACACATTTCTCACCGGATTAGACTGGCCAGTGAGGTATGGTTCAAAGTCATTGTCGTGGACCGTTTCCTTCTGATGAAGAGAGCCATTTTGCACTGAAATAAAGAATGATGTTAAACGTCAGGGTTACTACTCAAATCACTACATCTGATAACAAACTCAAAGCACGTGCTAAATCCAAGTCTTCTCTGTTCCTTTGGAAGATATCACTTGACCAATACTACGCCATTCACATTTTAGATCTTCAACAAATGATAAACGACTACAGTAACGTGAACTTCACCACACTGATCTCAGTGAGTCATTCACCACATGTTCTGTCTGACTACCACGATACTTCAGACAGTCATAGATGAAGAGGACCATCTAAAAAATACCCAAGCCAAAGGACAAAAATTCAAACTACAGTAGTTAACGCGACAGAATTATGAAGCATAATCTATTTAATACACTCAAAAGCCAAGCTCCCATTGCCAATTGATGTGTCAGAGTGGTGTTAATCCAACAGGAGCAGTTCTGGCCTCCAAGAGAAGGTATAGCCTATGGCTTCATCAGGTGATTGATTGAGCTCTCAATCAACATTATTTGAATGATATGTGAGCAACACAGAACCAGGCCTTGACAGAGAATGAATGCCAGAATTGGACTTAACAGCCACAGCCGAGAGCATTAATAATGGTACAACTGGACTTAATGTAAATGAATAAGCCTATCCTAGACGTTTCATTTCTAAATCTGTATATTCAGCAAACTCACCTTTAGCGTCTTGCCCTTTGGATGTCTTCCCATTCAGTAGGTGATTTAGAGATGGATAAAAACAACAGGATAAGACATTAACACCTTTGAATTATAGTTTTAAACACGAGGTCTTCGTGTTTTACACGTAAATACTACACAACGTCCCATGCTCTTAATCCACATCGACTCCATCAGAGCATCAGCAATACATCAATGCACTATAGCGAGTCGCTCGCCATTCGTTATTAAAGAGAAACGGGGGCTTATGTTGATATTTATTTACTCAATCAAGGAATTACACGTCCACCCGGAGAGCTAAAGATTTCGTCGACCACGCAGTTCAGCCCAAGTCCAGAGAAAACTGGTTATGACTCTCGGAAGCCGATGAGAGATTGTGTACTAAATTAAGTTTTATCCTGATGCTCCATTGGAGCAAAACGCATTTTGTGATGTGTCGAACGGAAATGTCTGTTTGGACCGAAGAAACGCGATGTAGTATTCAATGAAACGAGTGGGGGAAATGCTAACTCGTTAGCCACCGCGCTTGTATGAAGCAAGCAGAGGCAGAAGCCCGTAATGTCTCCGCAGAAGCGGCGGAGGCTGCACGCGCATTCCCTGCTCCTCCTAAAGGCCTTAGCGACGCCGTGCCACTCCAACCTACCTGTGGGTCAATACTGGTGGTAGACATAATTCATCAAGAGGGCCTCTTTTGATTCAGCAAGAGTCTTGCAAAGAAAAAAGCAGCAGCAGCGAGGGTGCTCGGCGTAACCCGAAGCCCGTGGGTTCCTCTCGGCTCCGTGCAGGCTGAACTGCGCTTTTTTTTCAGCAACTTCCACGACTTGATTCCGGCGATCCGGTCCTCGCGAGCGCACTAAACGTCCAGCCTGAGGATGTTCCCGAGAGTATCAGCGGCTCTGCGGTTTTGGGGGTTAATCCAATGCTGTCACACGCCGAGTGTACATTTATTTCAAAGTGTGTATATATTATTTTCCTCCTCCCAGCCCGCAGTTATTGTGCACCTCTGTTCACTTCCGCCCAATGGCCGCTCCATCCGGGATCTGCGCGGAGGGACTGACGCCACATGGACCGGGTGGCCATGCGGAGGTGATCAACCTGAGAAAATTGGAAAAGATTTCTTACAGCATAAATGTCTTCTTTCTCTTAGTAAATAAACTATTTCATATGTGTTCTTCCTTCTAATAATTGCCTAAAGAAATGTAAAGTGTAGTAGGCTATAATAAGTTACTAAATGAGAGGGCTGTACATATTATTTTTTTTTACCTATAATTACATATTTATCTTAATAGTATACATATGTCTGTAATAAATTAAGATAATAATAAAAATAAAAATATAGATTATGCTTTTATGTAATGAAAACTAGTTGACTCCTCTACTTCATGTTATTACTTCACCTTCATTCATTCATCATTCACCACAGCTATGACATATGTTTGTCAGAGGACATACCACATTAGTTTATTAGTCTATAATGAATGGGTTTGTGTTTAATTTAGACTAAAAGAAGTGACTATCACATACCATCCCATATAGATAGGCTATTAAAAGCATACATTTTATTGAATATAATGATGTTTCATCTGGTCCTTTCATCTGGTTTCTTTTCATATATTCATAAATATGTGCAAACATTTCTAAAAACTTTCTGACAAATACGTACATTTCACACCAGATGTTATTTGAAAAGCTTGGTTACTTGTCTTTTACTTCAAGCTTTATTAAACCATTTGACTGGGACGATGAAAAATGATACTTCTTTTTTTGAAAGCTTGTAATTTAGTTTTATTAAAGGCCTATATGCCACCACTTTTATCATTTTCATTTTCACTGTAAAGGAATGTCATTAACAAGCTCTGAGCACTCTTGTGTCAGCTAAACCTCATGCTGATAAGGGGCGTTCAGGGTAGCTAATTGATATTTAGATCTAGCTATTGATCTTAGTCAGAGATGGGTGCATGGTGGTCTTCCTGTTTAACAAGTTTGCAGTAAGAAATTATAGGAGACCAGGGAGCAGCTCTGTTTCAACATAACACCCATTTCACAGATAATGCAAAAGCTTTACTGATGAGATGGTTTTGCTGAATTTCCTAAAGTTTAAATATATGTTTTCAGTTTGAAAGTGATGCAAAATGAGAGATTTTGCATCACTTGTTGGATTTGGATTCTGATGTCTTGTTGTCCTAGGACAATAAAATATTGTATCACATTGCACATAGTGATGGCATACATAATAATCCGGTTTATTTATCAAGACATTGGTATCCTAATGCTTTTATGGTTAATATGTAGTATGTAGGCTACAAAACGTTGCCCCCAAAAACGTATTCAACTTGCGTTTTTCTCATTTTATCCACTAGGTGTCAGTGTAATGCGAGTCAATTGGGGAACTTCATCGACTACTTATCAAAACTCGTTGACAGAAAAACCTTAACGAAATAAAGTGCCCTTTGGAAACTGTAGTGTTTTCCAAACAAATATTTATTAAGATATGCACTACAGGTATAATTTAACAAAATAAAAGATGAAACGACTCACTACAGTCAGCATTCAAAATACAGTGTTCAGTAAATGCTGTATTATTTAGAAAATGAGGTTTGATGTTCCGAAAGCGTTAACTTACAATGTTTCTGTTTTGCTTGTAAGACACAGACCAGCACATGCAGGTATTGTAATTGCTCTCTCCTATACTCACTCTCACAAATATGGCTTGTGTTACCGACAGTAAAAGAGACAGACGTTGATCATTAAACATTTAACAGCATTTTGCTGTGTAATGACACAAGTGCATGAAAAGCAATTAATTCTTCTTCATTTAATCTCCATTATTAAACAGTTGAACTGAAAGAGATCTTTACAATATGTTTAAAATGTACAAAATATAGGCTACCATTTGAACTGTAAAATTAGAACCTTAAACGGTATGCAAAACTGTTTCACAGAAAAATCATATCCAGAAAGGAAAATAAATATGTATTCATAAAAGCATGTGAGGTCCATTGCTGTATCCTTTGGCTTTAGATGAATAGTTACACAGATGCCTTGTGACTTGTTTCTTGTTCACTTGTTAAGAGTTCAAAGAGTCATTAGGCAAAATAATAATAATAAAACACGCATACATACCTTTTGAATTTTCATGTTCATATTCACATCACTCTTATTTTCTTAATTTGCGTGTATTGTTATGTTTATACATGTATACATCATTTGGAATCCATCCAATCTGGTCCATTCTGGGAATGGTTAATGTCCTTTTCTTCCATCTCTTTCCCTTCTCAATGTTCCTTCTCTCTCTTAAAATGTTGATGAGATCTGGACACTGTCACTTATACAAATCTGAAAAGTAACAGAATGCAGATACAAAATTAGATTCACATGAAGTAATATCAGTTGTTTAGGAAGATGAATAAGAACCAGCAAAACATACACAAAATTACTAAAGGCACTTTTAAAAGGTGTAAGATAAAAATTAGTTTACAAACACGCGTCTTCCTCTTCATTGAAGATGTTGACAACATAGCAGGCAAATACAAATCCCAGGGCCTACATGCAAACAAACAAAGCATCAGATTCAGTAAAGTCACATAAAATGTCACTTTTTTTAATGAATTTCTATATTGGTGTATATGGATAAATCACAGAAAAGTTTAAGCTGAAGAGATCATATTAAAACGGAAGTTTGTAGGCCTAACTTTCCAACTTGTGTTTTGTTTTTTTTGCAAATATGATTTATTCTGAAGCAATATTCTTATCAGTTTTCTATCAGCTGTGACATATAAATCTGCGTGTTTTTTATATTTGATCCAAGGGCATTTTTTTACCTTTATTTTGGTAAAATTTTGGCATTTTCCCACTAATCTCATCAATACTTTCATTTCAAATTCATTTCAAAATTTGATTTAGGCCTATAAATTCAATTATAATAATGTGATTATCTATACGTTATCAAATTATATAGTTTACACTGAAAAATACAACTGCATTAAATAATATTATGAGATTCTTTTAAATATTTTGGAATAAATATACAAACAAGAAATGATGGTGAAAATGATACTTTTCAACGAAATTGAAACGCCAGTAGGTGCCAGTAGTGAGCGTTTAATGAGTGAGTCATTGAGTCGTTCATTCAAACAATTCGTTCAAACCGCAGATTCATCAGATGTTCATGCATGGGCTAATGAAACTTTGACTCAACCGATTAATTTAAAACACGGAATCAATCAGCAATGAATCGGCTGGTTGCTGTGAGATGCGCTGGTTCTGCCTAAAATGTAAGTGACCTAATATTATTGTATTTGCTTATTGAACTGTTTATAGAACTATTAAACAGTCGTAATGGTGAAAACGCTGTGTGATGTTGCCTAACTAACTGTATTTTAAATATACATTTTGAATTTTTACCTCAGGTTGCTGAGTTTCTTGTAGCGCGTTTTGATGTCTCCTGCAGAGGCTGCTGGTGAGCCTCGCCTCAGCAGCGCAACCTTATATGGTCAATAGATGCATTCTATACAGTAGCTATATCCACTATTCGCCACTTAATGTAATAAAAGCAGAATAATATTTGCGTTTTGGTGTTTACATAGTTATTTTTTGGTTACTGATATTTTAATCACGTAACGTTACTTGAGTTGCGTTAATACTTGTCTGGCGTTAATGTCCATGTGCTAGGGCTCAGCCAATATTGCGTCCTTTTTCTAATGCTAAACAGCAATATTTAATGTATCTGCATTACTGTAAGGGTAGATTTAGGGTTGGGGTAGGTGTAGACTTTAATAAAGCACAATCTAATAGGTAGAAAAAAATAATTTATTGTTGGTTTCCTGTAGCTGTATCCCTTCTAGCTTCAACCGCGAATATAACACATAATTACTGTATTTGCATTACAGTAAGGGTAGGTTTAGGGTTGTGGTAGGTGTAGACCAGGGGTGCCCAAACTCGGTTCTGGAGGGCCGGTGTCCTTCAGAGTTTAGCTCTAGCTTGCCTCAACACATCTGCCTGGAAGTTTCTAGTATGCCTAATAAGACCTTGATTAGCTGCTTCAGGTGTGTTTGATTAGGGTTGGAGCTAAACTCTGGAGGACACCGGCCCTCCAGGACCAAGTTTGGGCACCCCTGGTGTAGATGTTAATAAACCATAATTTTACAGGTAGCGTTTTTCGTTGTAGAATTGTACTACCCCGTTTTAATGGGAGGTAGCCAAATCTGACAGGGTAGCACAAATCGACAGAACACCGGCCCAATTTAAACCTTGTTTGTAGGTAACAAAAAGTTGGTATGCCTGACACAGCAGCATTGTTGTGAGAAATGTTCATAAAACCTGTTTGAAAACAGTCATTATTTCTGCACACTTCAGCTTTAAAAGATAATGACTTCTTCAGTTTTAGGGTCTTACTGAAAAGAACACTTGCAGGGCACTGTGCATAACTTCGATGTACTGATATTCTAACACACAGCCCAGCTCAGAGACCAGGGCAGGACTTTCCAGATGCTGCCATCTAGTGGTTGGGAGGTTTCTGTTCTCACAGCCTGGACCGTTGTCCTTCCACCATGACCGGTAAGATGAAAGTCCCAATGACAGATAATTGCTGTCCTGCAAGAGCACCGCATACTGAATTTGTAAACATTCATGGCTTTGCAAACATTATTGACTTTAATGCTGTAGTACTGAGGAAACATGCAGTGCAAGTTTAAAATGTTGTTTAATTCTGTTCATCTGTGGTTTGTAAGCTTATACCACAGTGATGATATCATTTCATACCAATGGCATGAATGTATGTGAACTTATACAGTGTTATGGGGCTCTTTACCTTTGAAAGCCCTCCAAGGTCTAGATAAAGGCAACAGATAAAGACATTCCAAGTCACCCAAAACACCATCCAGACTATATACTAAAAGAAAATGAAAGAACATAATAGACATCAGAGTTTTTAAAAATTCAGTCGGAACCACATCTAGTTAACTTCTTTAAACAAAAATCCATATCTGTGTAAACAACTAAATTACTGTATTAGACTATGCTACCATTAAAAAGTTTGGGTGATGTATTTTTTAAAGACATCTCCTATGCTCACCAGGGCTGCATTTATTTGATCTAAAATACAATAAACAGTAATATTGTGAAATTTTATAATAATTTAAAATATCTGAATTTTGCTTTCTATATATTTTAAAATGTAATTTATTTCTGTGATGGCAAAGCTGAATTTTCTTCAGTGTCACATGATCCTTCAGAAATCATGCTGATTTTATGCTCAGGTAACATTTATTATTATCATTTTTGAAAACATCTGTGCTGATTTATATTTTTCTGGAAACTGTGATATATTTTTAAAAGTTCCAAAGAACAGCATTTGTAATAATCTGTTCTAACATTATAAACATCTTTACTGTCACATTTGATCAGTTTAATGCATTCGTCCTAAATAAAAGCATTAAAAAAAAGTACTAAACCCACACTTTTGAATGGTATTTATTTATTAGTTTTTTATAAAGAAATTAAAACATATAATAATATTAATCAATGAAAATGTATTATTGAATTTAATACATTTATTTCAATTAAAAATATTTTAATACATTTGTTTATTTTGTACATTTAGGTATTTTTGTAATCTTTTTATATTTAGTATCAGTATTTTATAAATAATACGTTTAAATAATGTATTTTTTATGAATAATAAGTTATGTTACATTGTTGTTTTAATAAAACAAGTTATATTAAATGCAATATTATTTAACATACCTATGAAATTTCATAAGTTACAAAAAATTACATGAGGTAAATACAGTACACACCAAAACTATATAGCGGGGCTTATATTGGACTGTCCCAAACAAGCCCAATATCACTACAATGACGTGCAGGAAGTTGACAAGGATGGGTGCCCACTGGTAACCTAGAAAGTCGAACACCTGTCTCTCTACAGAAGTGATCTAGAAAAAAAAGACAGAGAGTATGATATGATCAAGATCTCTATACATTGTTAAAACAGTAAAACCACCAGCTTTGCATCAACACAACCAAAAAAAAACACCCTCATGCTGCCCCAAACACAATAATGATGGAGACCCCGTCTCTCTTTCCCAGAGACACACAATCAAAACCCCCACCTCTGTTTTTCCACATGCTGGCTTTTTACTCAGGGTTGCCAGGGTAACAGAGCCAATGGGGTACAAAGCATGTGACAGAGAAATAGAGAGTGAGAGGTGGAGAAAGAGAAAAGGAGGGCGGGAGGGAGAAAGGGTGAGCGAGAGGAGATGAGGGCCCTCCTTGGAGGTCAGAGGCTCAGTGAGAGGAGATGTATGATTCAGAGGGGAGGTGCTGGGTGTGGGGGATGCTACTCCTCTCATAAAGCTTCACTGCAGCAGTCATAAACCCTCTCTCTGCCACTAAGCACCCATCCCCCATACAATCTCTCTCTGTATGCCATAATGCTGCTGTGTACCAGCTGTTCCCAGAGGTTCCACCTCAAATCAACCATTCGTATGTCTTCACCCCAGTCCCCATCTGCTGTATTCCAGCATGAGGTGTGTTGACTTTAACCAGCCAAACATAAAACAGTGAGATGTTTCACAGATAGAGATGAGCTATCCGCTTTTGGTAACAGACATCTGCATTACAAACTCAGATTATACAATATATATCCATCCTGGTAAATCTAATTCATAAATGTGAACAGTCTCCAACTCATTTGAAATATTTAAACGATATATGAAACCACCATTATACACAGCAACAGTTGCTGAACCTGTTGATATAGTCGACATGACAGATGAATGTTCAGCCAAGATTTATAGGTGCCAAATGTTACACAATATTGGACATGGTATGGCAGACATGCAGCAGACCTCTCTTTTCTATTCACTGGCAGTAAAAGGTGTGAAATGGTAAATTGAATTCATTAAACCGGTTAAACCATACAGCTATATTTTCTTTTTGAGCCATCCTGAGATCAAATGTACACAACTGTAAAGACTAATAACTGCATGCTTCTGTTCTGCACTGTCTTACTGAATCGTCATCATTTATTTAGTAGGTGACAGTATTTTAAAAAAAGGTCAAGTCTGAGTTAATCCACTGAGATTATAGTCCAAATGTGATGTCATATCAGATTGCTAATATATAATGATGACTTAAAAATATATAACTGAATAAGCATCTCCACTCTCTATTTCTTTCATGCTCATTTACACAGTCAATAGAAAGAAAGGAAAGACAGAAAAGCTAAGGTTAGACCAAAGTTAAAAGCCATTAAGATTAAGCAGAATAACAGCAGGGATGTAGGTCACTGTCTCTGTTGGTGTTCAGCACAGAAACAAGAAGGTTTCCTCCTGTGGAGAACACAAGTGCAACTACTGAACTGAGATGACCAGATGAATCCAATAGATCACTTTGTGAGAGGAGAAAAGGATCTCGCACCACTGAAAAACCATGTGCAATCAATGAGATAAATATGCATTAAACACACACATTAAAATACACATACATAAACATTTCTCGTTATTACAATGCACACAGTTGACATCTCTTATGTAGGAAATCTGCAATTTAAATAGATTATATTCTATCCTGAATAAATGGATGGATGATGGATATTTTAAAAATCCTTTGAGAGAAATGTTGGTGCAATAGCAGAAAACAAGTCAGAACTGATACATATGACAGAGAAATACAGAATATATATATAAAAATGAGAGAAAAGAACAACAGATGTTTACATAAGCAAAGCCATAAATAGGCCTACACTATGTGCACAACAAACAAAGTAGCTATACATAATACACTAATGTATTATTTGCACTTCAGTTCTCATTGTACTCTTATATTACAAAAGAAATGTGGTCTAGTTTTATGTGTGCTCCTTCACAATAATTCCTTTTTATAATAGTCCCATAACTGTCCAAAAGTGTTTATGTCCAGCCATATCTGACGAGGTAAACAAACGCTTCCAATAGCCTACTCAAAAGTCTACGTACAATTATAGTCGGTTTGAACTAATTATAAATGAAAAACTAGGGTTATTGGCACAAAACCTTCCTTCTTTTAAACAATGGACTATTTAAAAGACTGCAGATTTTAAGACTTGTTGTTCGGGTGTTCAGAAACTCGTCTCGAGTTAATATCACAACGTACAATTTCATAAACAGTGACAGATTAATAAATGCGATACAAAACTGCAGCGAGTAGACGCTTGTTTTAACTACAATTCTATAACGCACTTACCAGCTGAAGAGCGCAGAAGAACATCAACATACACCTCCCCGAGCAGCAGCCCATCTTCACTATTCTCTCCGGTATAAACGTAAAACTCAAAATGGTAAATAAAACAGATTCATTTTTGAGGTAGCCTGTTTTTAGGGGTATTTTTCAGTAAGCTATGCTTCTCTTACAATGGGCTGTGATCATAGCTGTACATAGCACATATAGGGTTAAAAACAATATGAAGCGGTAGGCGCGGGTAACGAGGGTGAGATCGGGGGTAATATAAAATGGGGTGGGTCCTTAAATATAACAGCCACCGCCTCCCGGTGCGCTGAGGGAGCAGGTGGAGCACTAGCGGCTGGAAGAGTTGGCAAATGATTAGATTTATTTACCTTCCATAGAAATCCAGATCTGACTACCGTTAACGCTACTGGGTTGTTTAGGCTGGATTAAAGCAGGGGGTTAACGAATATTGAAGATTCAGCATTTACATAGCACACACTTTGTTTGTTATTTTAGCCTACAATATTTTCAGAGGCAAGTTTAAGGTGAATGATTTTGTAGAAACCTAAAGCTTATCACATGGTAGTTAATTACAATGGGGGTAAAAAGTCTATGGTTAGTAGTTATTTATAACATAACGTCCGAGTTGCTCATTTTCATTCACTGTGAATGGTACGGTCAAGCAAAGTAAGATTTTGTGTGTGTGTGTGTGTGTGTGCAGTGCCTTAAATTGCAACCTGTTCCTCATATAATTGTTATGTAAGCTCAAAAGACTTATATAATGAACAAGTCTCATTCTTGGTGCCTTTTTTTTTTGAGTTTCCCAACCATCTAGTCCCTATCCACTTTCATTGAATGGAAGAGAGCTTGGACATTCTGCTTCTGGACGTATTCCACAGAACAAAATAATAAAGTCACATGGGTTTGGAACAGCACTGATGAAAAAATTTATTTGTAGCCTACTCCCTGAAACACTGTAAACTCAACACAAACGTCAGAACATCATATATGCAAAACTGCACCATAAGCAGTTATCTACACACTGGGTTTCCTTAGGATTCGTGTGTATATGTTTTTGTGTGTGAACTTTTTTTTTTGAGTAATTAGATGTCAGCCTTGAGGTTGCATTTTTCATCATTTGGCCCCCCTACTTGACTAGCCCCTGCAGTGCCCAGCCATGTTCAGCACATATCACCCACCTGAACACAGCTGCCTGCTGCAGTGAGTATACGCTTGCTGGCATGGTCTGTAGTCCCACAGATGGGTGATTAACAGCAGGGTGCAGGGGTTTAGGTCTGTGAGTCACTCAGTATGTGCTGATAAACAAATTTTCTATATTTAGAGAGAGCTGTAGGTTTGATTGGTGGGTTGGCATCTAGAACATGTTTGTGAATTTTTGCTCTCCTTTTGAGCCCATGTCTCTGTGTGTTTGTATAGCCAACAGATTCTTATTATCTGGAGTTTGTAGCATTAAAGTTTGTAGGTTGATTAAATTTACAAAATATACTATATGACATGAAATGAACTGTTCCTGTTGTGCAAATTAAACTATATAACATTAAATTAACCATTTATACAGCATGCTGGGAAGACACAATTCTACTTAACAATAGATATTCTTTATATTGATGGTTCCATTAAGAGTCTTTAACATGCATGTAAATTTTTGGATTGTACAAATGATTTTTTTCATAATGGAGAAGCGTTTTCTAGATTATTCAAATGTCCTTTACATTTAGACACATTTTTTCTTTTAAGAACTGTTCACTGAAAGGCTCTTTGGGGAATACAAAAATGTGTTCCTGCTGCGAAACCCCCTTTTGGAACCTTTAATTTTAATGTTGATTATATTGGTCAAATATTGTTCAAGCTCATGAAACCATTCAACACTGTTACCCAAGTTACTATAGTAAGAATAATAATAATAAAAAAAATCTATCATTAATGAAACATGTTTAGCTATAAATGCCTATAAATTACCTTTTTATATTTTAATATAAATGTTGTCTAGAAACTAATTTTTATTTGTTTTACAATTAATTTTATATCCATTAACACCATAGAAAAAAATAAACAGCTCATATGAAGTACTTTTAAAGTATGGTAATATGGTAATCATTAAATATCATTACACTGATGGCAAAAAGTTTGGAATAATTCAGGTTTTTAAAATGTTTTCTAATGCTCATTATTTGATCAAAATACAGTATAAACTTTAATATTGTAAAATATTACTACAAAAAAAATGGTGCTGTGTGTACATTAATGAGGAAAAAAAATGTACTTAAATGATTTTAGCAAATGGCTGCAATATAACAAAGAGTGAAAAATTTAAGGGGGTCTGAATACTTTCCGTACCCACTGTATATGATCAAAGTAGGATGTATCATGGTACTACCAGTACTTTCTGTACTATTCACCCACTGGCTGTCATTCCCAAACTGTCCGCGCAGTGGCGCAACACGCGAGCTTCAGATGCCAATGGAGTGGGCACCGCGCTGTCATATGGTACTGTCGCCGATGCTCGAGACAGGATTGAGGCTTGATGAGGCTCAGAGGCTCAACGGAGGCAGTCGTGACGTGGTCTTGATATCACAACCGAGCCTAGACTTGGAATAACCCAGCTGTGCGTTTGCACCTTTTCACCTTGTGAGCGACGCTGCATGCACAGGAACAATGGGGATGGTCAGAGGTTGCGCTGAGGACGCCAGATGCCATACCGCGCACATGTCCTCCCTAGCATACGAATCCAGGCTCAACGCAGGTTATTGATTATGCTTGCGGGGTCCGAACGGGAGCCAGACGTTTCAGCAGCAGCAGAGAGAGTGCAGGGAGGTGGACGCTGCGCGGCGACGCGCCCCCTGAATCCCTAAACTGAGTGAGTATCTTCAGCAGCATCTGTATACGCGTCTCATTGGCATGCACTTCTGCCTACGTGCTGACCACACAACGGAATCCTGTATTAAACGCATATCAGAAGAACGTATAGCATGATCGTTTGCCGTTGGAGCATAACGCGTCCGGTTTATTTGAGATGAATGACTCGCATCATATAAATCAGACGACACGTGTGCAACAGCTTCAGTGTAGCCGCATTACCCTTTGTGATTCGACGCTTAATTAAACGATTTATAAGCAGGTTGTGGCACACTCTCACTCAGCGGAAACCAGCACTGCTCGATATCACATTTAATACCGTGAATTATAGAATCAATTTAGAGAACAGTGACATAGCCGCTCTTTTATTTGTTTCCCCTCAATTAAAAGGGATTTCGATGGAAACCTCTTGCCGTCTGCTGTAGGAGCTGGCCTCGAAGACGCGCCTACTGCGCGTGGATTTCCACTTTGATCTTGCGAGATTATTTCCAGAGTGCAGCGGTGATTGGCGGGACAATACCCACGGGAGCAACAAATTACTCGTGTTGAATAAGAGGTCGACCGCTGCGGGCCATAACATTTCATGAATCCGCACTACACATCACATATGCGAGCCGGGAAAACAATGCTGTTGCATACTTGAAAAATACAGTAGCCTATTATTTCAGTTCTAACAGCTCACGTTTTAAAATTGATAACGGGCAGGCCGAATCAATATTCAAAATTGTGTGTCTGATTAAACCGCCGCAGTAAAAGCAGACTGAGCTCCTGTCTGCAAAAAAGGCGCAGTAGCCTACTTCAATGATGATGTATAATTTGGGCACGAGACGAGTCAATAAACGCACTGAACAGGTTAGGACGGCACACGCGGTGATTTTATGTTGCTCTTGCCAGATAAAATGTAAAAGTCTAAACAGAGCACAAATGACTTTGAATTATTATGTATAGTCTGTATTTCATTCGTGAATATTCCAAGTGAATGAACTGTTTGTTTACCCTTACATCCATCCACTGACTAATTTTGTTAACTTCGTTTCTTAGTGCGTGACTGCTTTCCTGACTGACTACAATACTAGCCAATAGCATTCGAGTGCGGCTTGTGAAAGCGCATATCATTGGTCGAATTTACTGAACGAACACGCCTCCTATAGCCTACTGAACGATTCACCGTTTTGAATCGGATCTACTCAGTGCGGATTTTTTTTCGGAAATGAGTTACTGTGAGTCATTTTCGTTCAGATAAGGCGTAGGCATAGGCTAATAAGATTCCTTTCGCTCACAAATGTGATTTTTCCGTAACTAAATGGCTCATTGATTCACTTATAACAGGTCCGGCTCCAGAATCAAATCACTGAGGGTGCTTCTTAAATTAGTGAGGTTTAAATTAGTGAGGTGCTTTAATATAAATATATATATATATATTTTAGTAATTATAAACAGACACCACTAATATATTAGTGGTGTCTGTTTATAATTACTAAAATATATATATATATATTTTAGTAATTATAAACAGACACCACTAATATATTAGTGGTGTCTGTTTATAATTACTAAAAAGCTGTCACTCACCTTCAGTTCATAGCGATCTCACAAAGATAGCCTATACCTCAATACCTCAACAAAAACTCCAAGGATTTGAGCGGTGAGTGGATTCTGACTTAAACGCCTCTGATTCAAGAAATCAACAGATATACTGTGGTTGGCTACATTGCTCAACACAGCAAAAACACGTTAAAATAGAAATAGTACCATAGTATAGTTTGCAAAATCTGCAATAAAATGCCATTATTACAACTTTAACTGAGGGTGCTATTGATTTCGTTTGAGGGTGCTTATAGCCCTCTAGCATCCCTGTAGAACCAGGCCTGACTCATAACACAAGACACTGGTTAACCTACTGGCTACGAATCTGAATGAATATTTTTGTGAACGGATTCAGAAAAATCCAGTGATTTAGTGTTGGTGATTTAATTTATTCACTGGAATGAATTACATTACTTACACTTATGTAGAGGGAAGGCTTGTCAATGTACCTGTCATACAAGACAGATGAAGGTTCTGAGTGTGTCAAGTATGTGAGTTTGTGAGAGTGGCTGCAGAGAATCAGACCATCGGGGCCAAACTGCTCAGTCATATAAGCTTCCTGTTGATTGGTGGAGACTGGAACAGATATGATGTCCCCAACCATGAGCATAAGACGATGCAAGCAGAATGTTCTGTACTGTCCATTCAATGAAAGAGAAATCCCACATTGGCTCACATTCGGGAGGGGTAAAGAACTGTTTTCTATTTACAGTTGTTTTTTTTTGTCCAAATAGGCAAGAAGGCTGCACTGGTTGGAATCCCTGTTATTACAGGTTATAATATATAAGTTCATCTTCAAATTGACAACTTTCAAATTTTATCTTTTAGAAAAGCATTATGTTCAGTTCTTCTGTTCTGGAAACCTCTTACATGAATCACACACCTTGTCACTTCTGAAATGTGTTTCCGCTGTATTCAATTTCCTGAACCTCTTGTTTATCCTGGGGTGGCCCATACTAAGTGAACA